CTTCCGTTTCCTCATCTGTCCAACAGGGGGCGTGGGGTTGCACAGCTACTGACTTCCCCTCACTCCTGCGACTTCGCAGCCAACCACATGTGAGCAACACAGTTCACCCAGGGATTCCTGGAGCTCATCCAGCATGCCTCCTTTTTTAAATATATTTTTATTGATTTCAGAGAGGAAGGGAGACGGAGAAAGATAGAAACATCCATGATGAGAGAGAATCATGGATCAGCTGCCTCTTGCACGCCCCCCATTGGGGATGGAGCCCGCAACCAGGGCATGTGCCCTTGACCGGGAATCGAACCGTGACCTCCTGGTTCACAGGTTTGACGCTCAACCACTGAGCCACGCTGGTCGGGCACGTTCTTTAAACTATGATCTGTTTGTTATAGACTTAGTGTTCTACTCCATTAACACACTACCCAATTCCTTTGAGTTTGGGGGAAATCTTCCTAAATGAAGTAAAAATTGTTTCACAAAATAACTTCAGCTTTGAAGCTGATCAAGGCTTGAGGTTCACTGTCATGACCTGCCGGCCACCAGCAGGCGTCGCATCGCACACCATCAGCCCGGGGCTCCTTCTGCCTAGACTCGCTGCTCTGCGAAAGCCTGGCCTTGACCCACACCCTGTGGCGTAGGTACAGGGGAGCCATTTCTGTAATGGCATTTTCCAGTGGGACACCTCGATTTAAAAATACTCCTCTAGCCCGGCTGGTGTGGCTCAGTGGATGAGCATCGACCTATGAACCAGGAGGTCAGGGTTCGATTCTCGGTTAAGGGCACATGCCCGGGTTGTGGGCTCGATCCCCAGTAGGGGGCGTGCAGGAGGCAGCCGATCCATGATTCTCTCTCATCATCAATGTTTCTCCCTCTCCCTTCCTCTCTGAAATCAATAAAAAAATATATTTTTTAAAAACCCCATTTGATTGATCTTCTGATGGGAAAAGTTCTTTTCTTTGAATCAACTGAGTTATTTGTAGCTGGAAAAGGATTTTTCTATGAACAACTGCATTTGGATATCACCAAAGGGACACCTTGGTTGGCCTCAGAGACTTTACTTGGTTTTTGTTTTTATTTATGTTGTGTTCGGATACATTGTAGATATCCGTGGCTATTGCGAAGAGCAGAATTATAATCCCACTGACTTTAACCCCTCCCTCTCTTTTGTTCTCAAACAGGAAACTGTTAAGGACAATTCGCTTCTGTTTATGCCAAATGTGTTGAAAGTCTATCTGGAAAACGGGCAGACCAAGTCCTTCCGCTTTGACTCGAGCACCTCCATAAAGGTAAGGGGACCGCTGAGCTCTGCCTGGACCCCCTCGGGCAGCGAGCGGAAGCTGCCCCCGCGAGTCTCGTGGGGCAGCCCTTCTTTGTGAACTACTTGTCTATCGCTGAGAAGCGTTCGGTTGCTTCCCAATAAGGGAGTGTGTGAGGCCTGGCCGGTGTGGCTCAGTGGGTAGAGCGTTGGCCTGCGGACCGAAGGCTTCCAGGTTCGATTCAGGTCAAGGGCACGTACTTACCTCGGTTACAGGCTCCTCCCCGGCCCAGGCCCTGGTCAGGGGCATGTGCAGGAAGCAACCAATTGATGTGTGTCTCTCACATCGATGTTCCTCTCTGTCTCTCCCCCTCCCTTCCACTCTCCCTAAAAATCAATGGAAAAATATCCTCAGGGGAGGATTCAAAACAAAACAAAACAAATAAGGAAGTGTGTAAATACTGGAAAACAAACCAAGACAACAAGCTTAGCCTCAGAAGGTTCCGTCCGCTGTGTGTGTGCGCGCGTGCGTGCTCGCAGACTGATAAGCTATCAGTGCTGAGCCAGGGCAGCCAGTCATTTGAATGCAACCACGAATGAAAGGAGCCCAAATGCACCAAGAAGGCTCGCCGCCCTCCCCAAAGCGAGCGGGGTCTCTCAGCGGTGTGAGCCCCAGGAAGATGAAGCTGTTAGCTGTTAATTGAGTATCTGCTCCTTTGGTGTCCAGCAAAAACAAGGGGTAGCGCAGTACAAAGCTAACATTTACTTTTCCTACTGGAACTGCTTTCATGGCAATGATGCATAAAGGGCAGGAATGAGGCATGCGTCTTAGAAGAGGTGGAGAGGAAAAGCCACAAAGCAATTCAGTTAAGGTAGCCCCCCCTTATCCATGGGCCATGCCTTCAAAGACCCCCCGTGGATGCCTGAAACCGCGGATGCTAACGATCTCTATATACGCGGTGATTTTTCCTATACACGCATACCTTCCCTGAAAGGAAGCGCTTACGGCTTCTCTGAGGCTTGTCTGAATGGCCGGCATCAGTGCTCTGTACCTTGAGGCCATTAGGAAGAAAAATAAAGGTAACTTGAACATAAGCCTTGCACAGCGGGCGATCCGATAACCAAGATGGCTACTAAGTGAGTAACAGGTGGGAGTGTACAGAGCGTGGAGTCACCGGGCAAATGGAGGAGTCACTTCCCGGGTGGAAGGGAGAACTTACGAATTGTTTATTTCTGGAATTTTCCATTTGATATTTTGGGGCTGCAGTTGAACATGGATAACTGACACCTCGGAAAGCGAAACTGCAGATAAGGGGTGGGGGGCGCTACTGTATTTCAGAGCCAAAGGTGAGTTTGCATAATAGGCATTATTATAAAGCAGCGGTTCTCAACCTGTGGGTCACGACCACTTTGGCGGTCGAACGACCCTTTCACAGGGGTCGCCTAAGACCATCCTGCATATCAGATATTTACATGACGATTCCTAACAGTAGCAACATGACAGTGATGAAGTAGCAACGAAAATAATTTTACAGTTGGGTCACAACATGAGGAACTGTATTTAAAGGGCCAGAAGGTTGAGAACCACTGTTATAAAGCATAGGGGTTTCCTACCCCGCCCCCCCCCCCATGCTTTGTTCCTGGGGGGAAAAAATATATATTCTCTTTTTTATTGGAGAAAAGTGTGTTCAGAGATTGATTGTTCCCTCATGCTCCATCAGCCTAAAATAGGCTTTCTTTAAATGCACAGGAAAAAAGATTTTATTGAGGCTAAAAAAAAAGTCCCTAGTGATGATCTTGTGTAACGAGTGTATCAAGCGACTATCAACTGTGTATTGAAAATGTCTATTCATAGTCAACCCCGAATTCTCAGTTTTTAAAATTAATCAGCACAAACCTGAGTGGAAGCGTTTCTGCCGAGGCCCACTCACCGTGCATTCTTCTTATCGGGATACCAGCACGCAGCTTGTTTGGAATCGCTTTAAATCGGTAGCGACTGAGCAGGTAATAGAGCAGACAAGAAGCGTAGATTGATGATCAAGCATTTAAAGCAGCCTTAAGTCATTCCGGATGAAATATGAACTTCCTTCATACCAGGCTGCTAATGTTAAATGCTGATGACGACAGAAATCTTTTATTTTATTCCTACTCCACATCAGTTCACAGCGAGATGTTACTCTAAATATTAGCTAACCTAGGAGTTGGCAAGCTTTCTCTGGGCTGGAGAGTAAATATCGGAGGCTTTGTGGGACATTTGACCTCTGTTGCCACTCCCCGCCTCTGCTACTGTATCAAAGAACCCACTCCCAGGTTCAATAAATCCACTGGAGGGACTCCCAGGACTCAGCAAATTGTCACACTCCCAGTTTCTGTTGATTGCAGCCAAAGGAGACAGTGACATCAGCCACAGGAAAGCAGTGTCCCGGGCACAGGGCTTGGCCTGGGACTTCCGGCTGTCCTGTCCCAGGGGGCTGTGCGGACAGCCTTTTCTGCAGCAATCACGTGACAGCGTGCACACAGTGCTGCCAGCTGAGCCGGCTGCACAGACAGAGCTGACCACCTCTGTGGCTGCCCTGAGCAGCCGGCCCTGCCAGAGGTCGAGCTGATCCCACAGGTCCCAAGGTCCCCACCGGAATCATGTTGTGAGCACACGCTATCTACTGTGGCCCCAGGTCCCCGGGGAACAAAGCTACTCCTATCAGCAAGATTCTCCAGGGCTAGAGCAGTTACCTCCCAAGAGCCAGGAGTAAAGAGGCCAAACTTTCTTTAAAAAATATATTTGTATTGATTTCAGAGAGGAAGGGAGAGGGAGAGAGAGACAGAAACATCCATGATGAGAGAGAATCATGGATCAGCTGCCTCCTGCACACCCCGTACTGGGGATGGAGCCCACAACCCGGGCATGTGCCCTTGACCCGAATCGAACCTGGGACCCTTCAGTCCGTCGGCTAATGCTCTATCCAATGAGCCACACCGGCTGGGGCTTGAATGCATTTTTTAACCGAAAGAAATGGGAATTTAGAAGAGACTGCCTCCCATTGTAGATTCCCTCTGGCCTGTTTATTAGAGGAGCCCACACTAGACTAAGTTTGATTTCCCCGAGGACGGCAGATGACAATGAGAAGACAGCAAGCAATGCAAAAAGTTCACATGAAATTATAGTTATCTTATCTGGTACCTAACAGCCCGATTATCACAACAGACACGGGCTGGTGGGCATCAAGTGGAAATAGTATAGTTTTGCAAGGATATGACAGTGTTTAATACAAATTGCCAGCATTCTTGCTACAGAGTCGCAATAGGAACAATGTATTGCTATTGATTTCCCAGCGTCCTCCCTGGCGATTCAGGAGCTTTTAGAAAGTGTGTGTTGCGACACAAAGGCTGGCGTTGTTTTCTCCTCTCTGGGCCTGGAGCGAAAAATTATGAAACCAAACATCTTTTGATAAAATTCAATATAGTCACGGTATTTCCATGGAATGATGATTTTTTTTGGTGGTGGATGCGTGTGGGAATCTTTGTCTCCCAGGGGCCTGGAGACATTTTAAAAAGTCTTCAGAGAGGAGTCAAAACCTTGCTGTAGCCTTGCGTGTTGATACTTGGGGCCAGATAATTCTTTGTTGTGGGCGTGTCTTGTACATTGCAAGACACTTAACATCCCTCCGCGCCTGGCAACCCCAATCCTATTGTGACAACAAAAATGTCTCTGGAAGTTGCCGCCGTTGAATGGGATTTTAAAAAATAGATATTTTATTAATTTCAGAGAGAAAGGGAGAGGGAGAGAGAGAGAAACATCCATGATGAGAGTCATGGATGGGCTGCCTCCTGCACACCCCACACTGGGGATCGAGCCTGCAACCTGGACGTGTGTCCTTGACCAGGAATTGAACCGTGACCTCCTGGTTCATAGGTTGTTGCCCGATCACTGAGCCCCGCCGGCCGGGCACTGCCTGGGTTTTGATCGCATCTTGTCCACGTTTCCTCTGTTAGGATGTCATCCTGACCCTTCAGGAGAAGCTGTCCATCAAAGGCATCGAGCACTTCTCCCTCATGCTAGAGCAGAGGACGGAGGGCGCCGGGAGCAAGCTGCTGCTGCTGCACGAGCAGGAGACCCTCACTCAGGTGCGGGGGCTCCCCCTGATCACACTGCTGCCGCACAGAGGCCGCCCCGCCCCGGCAATCCCCCA